GTTGTGATGTGGAGCGAATGGCCGATGAGGTAAGTCAGCTTCGGGGCATATAAGGCAAGTCCCTCGTGCCTTTTGGAGTTCTCTGCCGTCGGGTAGAAGTAGAGAGTCTTTGTCAAGAACTCCTGCTCTTATCGTGTTATTTAAAACCGTGTTGCTTGGATGTCCTGTGCGTGCGTGCCAGATCTCTTCAGAGGCGCGGTGTCCGGGTGAACGTTGGTATGCGTCGGAGTTGGAGTAAAAACTGGTGACGAAGTTGGCGCTTCGGTGGACTTCGCGTTGAGTCGGATTTAGCTGTTGTGCGGGTGTTGGTGGTGCTTCGTCGAGTGTGACTGGTGTCGTTGTTCCTACTGCTGCTGATGTTGTCGCTGCTCCCGATGTTGTTGCTGTTGCTGCCGATGTTGTTGCTGCTGCCGATGTTGTTTGTTGAATCGTCGCTAACGCTCGTGTTCGTTCTGCTTCAGGGATAGTGTGGGAGTACCAAAAACCTCCCGGGCTGAAGTTGTCAGAATATTATTCTTATGTTCTAGCCTGTAGTGGGGTGCTCTATAGCGAGTACAACCCTTCTAGGGTTTGCTATTTGTATCCCCATTTCTGCTAGTTCATTCCTCTTTCCTCTTTCTTTCTTCAAACTTTGTCAGAAGTCGGGGTCGAGATCCGGAGGGTGTGTCCAGTCGGTAAAATTCACGATGGCGTCGCTGTCTGCAGTGCCCAGGTCAGGAACGAAGTCGAGGACGAAGACATTGTTCTTCAATACTGCTTTCCCGATGTAGAGACCGCCTCTCCCGTGGTATAGCTTGAACTCTTGGGTGGTGCTGTCGGCTTCCAAGTGAATCCCCTTCGCCATCAACTGGCTAACACTCAGTAAGTTGTAACCGAGTCCTTCAGCGATGAGTACCTTTGACATGTGCAGTATGACATTTGTTTCTCTTGACTGAAGCTGTACCACTCCTTGTCGTCGTGTGCGCAGGTTTTGATTGTTGGCGACCGTGATGACAACTTCTCGTTGGAGTCGGTGTTCGCGTTGTACGAAGCGTCCGGACGAGCACATGTGTTGCCCGCAGCAACTATCCAAGAACCAAGTGTCTTGGCCGGACGGTTCACTTTGAGCGATGGCGGCGTAAGTCGGATTCGGGTGGAGTGATTCGCGGCGGGGCGTCCTGTTGTCGAGCTCCTCTTCTGGTGAGTAGTGGGGTGGTGACTCTGTTATGCAAGAATTGTTTATTTTGACCATGCAGTTGACTATGTTTCTTGCTCCTTGTGCAGGTTGTCCAGTTGAAGTCGTTGAAGCTTGAATCGTGGTTATCGGACTTGCTTGTGTCGAAGCAACTTGGGAGCTTGAAGGCCGCAGTTGTCGCTGTGGTGTTGTCTGACGGGACGGGCAATGCGTGCGTGGATGTCCTGATGTTTTGCAGATGTGACAAAACGGAGGTACTAGCTTCGGCTGTTGCTGTCGGTTGTTGTAGTTGTTGTGTCGTCGCTGAGTATGGAAAGCGAACTCCGGTGCTAATGCCCTTTTCTTGTGCCTTTCTTCTTGCATGTCCATATCCTGCTGCTCGGCGTGGATTTCGGCGCAAAGTGCTGCTTCAGAGATTCTTCCGTGGGCTCGAAGAATTGCTTTGGTGGCGCGCCACTGAGGACCGAGGCCACCGATGATGACTGTCACGAAGGCGTCTTCAGAGATTGATCCTCCGCATCGAAGAAGCTTGTCGCGCAATTCACGACATCGGCTGATATACGCCAGTCCCTTTTCTCCTGGTTTCATTTCAACTGTTGTCAATTGCGCCATTAACCTGCTCTGGCTTACACTGTCTGTTGCCTGATACAGGTTCTTCAGATGGCCGTACGCGAGTTCCGCCGAGTTGCCGAAGTTCCGGTAAGAGCGAATGTTCTGCTGCTGAGTTGGTGTGATGTTTCTCAGTAGAATAGTATACGCCATCATCGATTGATACTTATACTGCTGTTTCTCATACTGTGTGCCGTTTGCTGGATACTGCAGGGATCCGTCGAAGAAGCCGAGTATCTGCGCGCCCTCCATCATCAGCTCGAATTCAAAGGACCAGGTGAAGAAGTCCTTTCCGTCGAAGGGTCTTGATGTTTGCAGTTTCAGGACATGCGCGAATTGTGACTGAACTTGTAAAGCGTCCATTGGTTTGTCTTGCGCAGGTGAAGGTTGAGGCAGGAAGCTGATCGACCCGCGCTCGTACGGGGCAAAGGTGGGTTGCTGCTGTTGATTCCCTCGCGCATATGACGATCCGTCAAGGCTCATGGGTGTCGCTCCGTTGTTGCTGTTGTGTGTCTGTGCAGGTCCCGACTGCTGGTGTTGCTCGTAGAAGGACATGAAGGAGAAAAATTTCTCCATCATGTTCTGGTCGAAGTCAGAAGGATGGTTCGTGGGGGTCTCGGTTGACGTTCCCCTTGGTCTTGCTGCCGTGCCTTCCTCTGTCTGCAGGCCAGAGGCTGGTGGTGGAGTAGGAGTAGTGCCCGAGGAGCCATTAGGGGAGCTCCTTTCCTTGTTTGTTGCCATATCTTGTAATGATAAAAAAGTTAGAGTTTTCCCCTGTCAGCTCTCATACCATGTTGGGCTGAGAAAGCCCTTAAGGATCTTTGCAGAGGATAACTCTGGGTAGGATATTTGTAATAGCGGAAGCGTTTAATGAAGTTTGTGAACCGACCTTGCACTAGTGTGTGAGAGCAAAGTGGATTGAATTAAACAAGCAAATACAAGGTTTTATATAAGAGTACAGGGAATACGAATGGATAGATAAGTGTATTTGCTGTTGCGATTCGATACAGTGCGACTCAGGCAACTGCTCTGTAACGAGTCAGTTGTGTGTCCTTAACTGTCGCGCTGTAATTGTCGAGTCAAAGGTTGCTGACCTTTGACTTTCCCGTAACCTCCAGGCGGTTACCCTAACCTCCGAGGTTTGACTCGATGCTTCGATTCGGATTGCTTCGCTAGTGTCTTGGGTTTTGACACGACAGAAGCGCACTAAGACTTATTGTTTCCAACACAACGGCTGCTGCTGCTGTACGCGATGTTGCAGGGTGCGCTAAGGAATATTGAGAAGATTCCTTACACTGTATAACATATTCTGTAGATAAGGTGATTACCGTATGATTGATTCTATATACACTACGATAACATAGAATCAATCATACGGTAATTACCTTACCTACACTCAATAGGCACTCAGTTCGGCTTGTTTAGCCCAATGAGATTGAGAAATTAAATTTTTGAGCGGGAAAAGAAAAAGATTATCCCCTTGAAAACTTGTTTTCAAAACCTACAGGCATCTCCCATATTAATGCCCCTAGTAAAGCCTACCGTCCTCCTGCTCATGAACATGATCATCACTACAAACATTCCCTACAGCTTGTGTGATGCCTTGGCTACAGTCAGCTGCATTGCACTACGGAGATAGTGGAGTGCTAGATGGGATCCATCATTTGTCAGACTATACTTGAACAATCTCGTAGTCTCAGCAGCCATGCTCCTGTGCTTGGCTCTTACGAACACCCTCCCTGCAATGAGCAGCCACCTGGTGAGCCGGTATAGCCATCTCTGGTGAGTTTGGACCAACTCAGCGCCCTTGATTATCGAGCATGGTCTTGAGCTCCTTCAACCGCTGCATGCCCTCACTCATGTAGAACCGTATTTTGCTGATGTCGTTCTCCCCTGCATGCTTCTCTGCTTCGTGTCTAATTATTCTCTGCAGATCAGCTGCTTAAAGCGAAGGTACGAACATACAAACCGAGAAGGACGATTACTTCTTTGAAGAGAAAAAAAGTGGGAAAACAGAGGAGAAGGGCATGAACAGAGCGCTTCTCATCCACCTATCTTTTTTGCATGCACCGCCTGTCTAGATCAAGGAGCATGATGGCTGTCTAGGGCAAAGAAAATGGTCAATCCGAGCAGCAATGCACCTCGGTATTTCCGAGGTCGCGCACTCCAGAGAACATCCCGATAGAGCGCCTTCACTGACGCGTGGAGCACGAAACGCGAGCAGAGGTCTACGCGGCGAACACTATGCGGAGTGTCTGGAGGAGTAACGCACCTCGGGATTCAGGCGGCGCGAGTCGTGCAGTCCTGAGAGCATCCCGGTAAAGCGCCCTCGCTTTCGCCTGAAGCACGAAATGCTGCAGCGACAACACTGGTCGTGCCCTCATGCCTCCGTTACCGAAATCGTCGCTCCATGCTTTCGTTAACAGCACATTTTCGCAAATCCAGGAGGCAAGCTCGTGCCGGATAAGGGAGGAATCACGACGCAAGACTAGGAGGATGATGGAGCAGGGCTAGGCTTGCCTGGTAATACTTGGCGAGGTGACCGCGTGAATGTCCATTCTATTCGCGTTTGAGGATTGGGGGATCAAGTTGCGATGCATGAAGTCCTGTGCAGTGAAACTCAACCATGTTACCCATTGTACCGTAATCGGCAAACTTACAAGCACTCTAAGTAAAACAAAATGTTACTGCGGAAGCAGCTTGCGCAGCGTAAGAGATATTCTTTCTTTCCTAGGCACTTGCTTTCTCTCCCATTGCTGGTGCTCGTCATCTCTGATAATACCATGAGTCCAATTATACCTTGCAGGGCCCGAAAGCAGCAGCAGATCCCCAGGGGCAAGGAGCAGAGGGAGGGAAAACCCAAGATCATAAGGACGATCTGACGGTCTAGCAGCAGTAGATGGTGAATCTGCAGCATCAGAAAGGGGCAAGGGCACCGCTGCAATGGATGAGGGTGATTGATCAGGGAAGCCAGGAGGGGAAGTGGGCGAACTTGGGGAGGCAGTGGTGGGGATGGTGCTGGTGGGGTTGACGGTGGTGGTTGGGGTGGGGTTGGGAGCGGTGGTGGGGGGTGGAGAGGGAGCAAGGGTCATGACGCAGGGCGAGAGGAGGGAGAGGATGGCGATGCCATCGTCGAATCGCATCAAGTCCACATGCGGCTTGATACCCTGTACCCCACATCAGCAATGGTGGGGCGGATGGGTGAATGCATGCCATGTCAGCAATGGGTGGTGGATGCATGAATGCTTGGCAGTGACAGGTGATGGCATAAGAACATCTGAACAGTAGAAGGCATGGGGAAAGTGGACTTGTGGATAAGGAAGGCATGCGAATAGGGACATGGGGATAGGGGAGGGCATGGGAGGTGGGGGCATGGGAGGGGAGGGCATGGGAGGTGGGGGCATGGGAGGGGAGGGCATGGGAGGTGGGGGCATGGGAGGTGGGGGCATGGGGATACGGGAGGACCTGTGGATAAAAGAGCGGCCTTCAAGGCCAGTGTGATGAGACAAGGGAAAGACAAAAGAGTAGACGGGCGGATCGGTGGATTGGTGAGTGGCTGGATAAGAGGATGGGAGGGCGGAAGGATGCAAAGAGCAAAGCCTCGCGTCATCTCCATGGTACCAGTTGGCGATCATCTCGTCAAACCGGAGCACTTTCTGCAGCACACGCCGCGAATGGCTGGGTGGGTGGGTGGGGGAATGGATGGATGGGCGGATGGGACGCATGGCCGAGTCAAGACCAGAGTCTCACCTGGTCTCCGCTGTACCAGTTGGCGATCATCTGGTCAAACAGGGGCTCTCGCTGCAGCACACGCCGAGACAGCGGCTGCACCCGCAACTGCCCCGCTTCGTCATTTTCTGCTCCAACCACCTGCAATTGCTCACTGTCAACTTTCGCGTCATTCCCAGCCTTTTCAGGTCCGGCTTCGACAACTTGAAGGTCAGCATTCGCATGCTTGCATGAAAGCACCTCCTCGAGGCCATTCGCCTCCTGCACTCCTCCCCCCTCTTGCTCTTGCACACCTCTCCCCTCTTCCCTTTCCGACACATTCTCTGTGTCTCCCTCGTGTTGTCCTTTTTTCCTCCTCTTCCCACAACAACCACTCCTCCCATGCTCCTCCCCATCCTCCCTTGCTCCCTCCTCTCGTAATCCACTACGATTCAAAACAAATTCCTTCCCACTCCCGTTACCATCCCCTTCTGCTCCACTCCTCTTTGCACTCCCAGGAGCACCATTGCCCACACCTCCGTCCCTCTCCTCGCTCATCAACCCACACGTACCTTCCACTCCCTTAACAGAAAACGCTCCAATAGCAGCAGCTGTTTGACCCGAAGCAGCAGTAGCAGCAGCAGCAGCAGCAGCAGCAGCAGCAGCAGCAGCAGCAGCAGCAGCAGCAGCAGCAGCAGCAGCAGCAGCAGCAGCAGCAGCAGCAGCAGCAGCAGCAGCAGCAGCAGCAGCAGCAGCAGCAGCAGCAGCAGCAGCAGCAGCAGCAGCAGCAGCAGCAGCATCAGCAGCAGCATCGGCAGCAGCATCGGCAGCAGCATCAGCAGCAGCAGCATCAGCAGCAGCGGGGACTAGAGCTCGCTCAGAAGCAGCAGCCCCTATCAGCTTTGTCAGGTGCATGGCAATAGGGGGGAGATTGCCAAACCGCATGGCCTGAGGAAGGAATTGCAAGGCAGAGAAGAGCAAAACCGACAGTTGAGTGGGTAAAGTGGGGCGTCTTGAAGATTAATAAGAAGCTGAATCAAGACGTGGTGAGCATGATATAAAATTAACGCAAGTGCGAGTAATTCATCTCTTGTGCATGAGAGAGAACGTGAGATGTTTGTCAGAATAATGGCATATGGTAGAAACTGGCTTTACCTGATTCTTGACTGGTGGGTCGAACCATTTCTCTGAAGGCATGACAGAAAGGACGAGAACAGAGGAGGAACCGAGCCCGAGGAAGCAACAAAATGTACGTATGTAACACAATCAGTACTGTAAATTTGATTCCTTGAAATTATCGACATTATTGAGTGGTGTAACTTGCGCGAGTGAGTGACATGCCTCAGTTGCACAACGTTGATAAAACATCACATGCCAGTTGGGAAGAAACGAGAAGCACCTCGAATGAAAGCTTTGGTTTGTGTTTTTACCCCGTGCAATTGCATTCGAGACAACGGCTTGCTCCTTCTTTGTAAGAAACCCCCGGCACAGCCACAGCCCCTCCACCTCCTCCACATGCGTCCATTCCCGGCTGCCTTGTCCACTGAGACAATCACACTCGCTACAATCACGAAGAGCCACCTGAAATCGGAACAGAGGGAATGCGGGACAGTTAACAGCGCGCAAGAAGCTACAAAATCGAACAACGTGACTTGACAGGATAACAAAGGATGGTGGCGGGGAGTGGCTAAGAGGTTGGAGGAGCAAGTCTTACGAAGACGTGGAGAGCTGGAAAGCGGTGGAAGGCGGTGATATGGGGGGTCCAGTACGACGAATTTCAAGGAAATAGGGAGGGTACGGGGGATCATGGGAGATTGATGGAAATTACGGGAGGGCTAGGAGGCGACGCAGGACAATCGGGTGGTGGCGACGGCGGTCCAAACACGGCATCAAGCAACGAATGTTCCATCGTCACGAATACGGTATTCACGGCGGTTGAGTGAATTATGACGCATTAGCTGAGTTATAAGATTGTACAACTCGTCCTAATCACATCGTTTTCACGCTTCCTCCTCGCCTTCGTTTCGTCATACCCGTCAGGTGGCGATTTTCGAGAGCGGCACAACGGACAAACACGCAAGATTTCAACCGAATCGCAACGGACAAACACGCGAATCGCGGCAGGTGCTTCACACTGGGCATGATGAGGAAGAGATGGCGCTGGGAACGTATTCAAGGACTCTCAGGGTGCGCTTCTATCCCGTGTCAGACCTTAGGTTTGACACGAAGTGGAGGTTCGGAAGAACCGAAGTGGCTCGTTTTTGGGGCGATTGGAAGTTCGGAAGAGGCAAATTGAAGACTCAGGCCGCATGACTTGATGTCTGACACGGGATCGAAACGCACCCTCATCCACCACACCACATCCAAAATTGGTTGGGAAAAGGGCTCTATCAAACCAACCCAAGTCCAAATTTTTTGCCTTCGGGTACGCGGGAAAATAAGAGAGAATCCAGATTGTCCCCGTGTAAGGAAAATTCCTTTTCCTTACTACGCGTCCCCGCTCAGCGCGTACACCACTGTAGCACCACAGTCCGCACCATTACCACTCGCAACCCTCGCATCGACAATCCTCCCGCCACCTTCGCACGTCGCACCCCGACCTCACGGCTCGGTGGGTAACCTGCACTCCGGGCCTCCGCTTCGACATTTTTCCCAACCTTAGTCCCAGGCCCGTCGCACGACAACCACAGTCCATTACCGTTTCCACCTTAGTTTCGCTATATATCCTTCGCTCATGCCTTCGCTCATTGTACTCTTGCTCCAATAGTGCAATTCTCGCTCGCTCACTCAATTGCACTCATAACACTTGGTATTTAGAGCCTACGATCTCTTCTCGGACCGCACCCGCACCTTCGCTTCCCCACTATCTCAATTTTTTGGAGGGTAGACGTCTTTCAGCGACACAGCACCGCCGCTCGTAGTGCTCTCTCGTAAGCACACACGGCCATGACCGAGACTCTCGCTGAGCTCGTCCGACACCCCTGCCATGGCCGAATTCATGCTTGCAACATTGACGCAGGAGCAGCTCGACCGTCTGGTGCGCCAACTAGAAGAATCGGCGCTTGAAATTGCGACGCTCACGGCGGAACGTGACTCCGCACGTCAGCAATCAACGGTGAACACTCCCGCGCCACCACACGCACCGACAAATGCATCTGCACAATCGGACGAGCCAATCGTCATTTCGTCCGGCACACCAACGCAACACGAAAGCGTGGGACAGCGCTCAGGCGCAGCCAGTGATGGCGCCGCCCAGCCGATGCCTGGCATGGGAGGAAACAGGGTCGCACCAAGCCCGCGGGAGCCTCGTGAAGCCCGTCGGCACATGGAGTTCGCGGCGACAAGTGGCGAACATGCCATTATGGCGCCAATGCCACTCAAGCCGCAACGCCCGCCCTGCTTCGACCCGAGCCAGCGTGGAGGTCCGACGGTTCAATCGTGGGTCTTCACGATGAACGTCTTCTTCGACGCGAATTACGTCGAGTCGGACGCAGTGAAGATTCGATATGCCATTTCGCTGCTGAGGGGCCCCGCCATGGACTGGTGGCGAGTCATCGTGACGTCGCCACGCGCCTACGAGCCACCGTCGCAAGAGGAAGGGCCCACGGGTCCAGCTGTCACCTGGAGTTCATTCTGCGAGACCGCCCAGTACAGCACGTGGGATGCGTGGTGCGCAGGGCTTCGGGCGTGCTTCGAGCCAATCGCAGCTTCTATTTCGGCGCGTCAGAGACTGCGTACTTGGCGGCAGCTCGGGTCGGTTCAAGACTATACGAGTGGTTTTCTTGCATTGTGCGAACAAGTCGGCTACATGCACGAAGCGGAGAAGGTGGACCGTTACGTCGGAGGGCTGAAGCCGGGAATCTCGCACGAGATCATGCTACGCGGGCTCTCAAACTTTAGTGGGATTCTCGAGCTCGCCGAGAAAATCGACATTTTACGTCGTCCGAGACCGGGGTCTTACTACGGACATCGTCCTCGGGGACCGATCGAGCACGCCACCGTACATGCCGTTGCGATGAATGCAGCTGCCGCGCCGCTTAAGGGGCACTGCTTTGCTTGCAATAGGCCGGGCCATCGCAAGAGTGAATGCCCAGAGGAGCTAAGGCGCCGTGGAGCAGAGCAGGGGAGGGAGTCTCCAAGGCAGGGAAACGCCAGCACTCAGTAGGAATCGGGCCAACTACTGACGAGACTGCCTGCTCGCCCAACCCCACCGACCCTCACCGAGTTACAGTACTGATTCATGCTATCGATCGGGCTCGGACGAATAAGGAGGGTACAGTGACGGATTGCCCATAACTGATCCACAGGAAAATATAGGGAGCAGCAGTGAAGATTTTTATCGACGGAGGAGCAAGCCACAGTTTAGTAAATACCGCAACCGCCCGAAAACTGCAACTGACACTTAGCCGCTGCTTACCTGAGATAGACGCACGCTTAGTCGACAGCACGCCACTGGCCATACGGGAAAAGGTGGAGAGAGTCAAAGTCCGTTGCGGGGGGAATTTCGGATTTACACAGGAAATGCTCGCAACGACACTCGATGGGCACGACATTTTACTGGGACGTGATTGGCTGCGACGGTATAACCCGCGAATTGACTGGACGACGGGTAGCTGCACTGTGCGAAGTAGCGGTAACTGGGTCGAGCTACCTTGCTGGCAGTCACCCGAGTCTTCAAGGGTACACGTTGCCGTCACCATGAAACGGGTTGTCGCTGCTGGAGCTGACGTGTACGCAGTAGACATTGCAGTGGTAGAGGGAGCAGGGCAGCCGAGTGATTTCAAGAAACTGCTGGCAGCAGTACTGCCCGAACTACAGGAACTGTTGAAACGATACCCCGGGATTTTTCTCGACGACTTACCGGAAGGACTGCCACCTCAGCGAGCACTTGACCACCGAATAGAATTAGAACCGGGGGCACAGCCAACCGTATAGTGTAAAAGAACAAGGAACGATTGCATTGAGCAGCATGAGGAGTATAAGTAGGAAACCCTAAAGTGTTGTACCCCATGGGAGCTACCCCACTACAGCCTACACAGACTATAGCATATAAGTTTGACATACAGCGCCAGCTCAGACTGACACAGCCCAAGCTCGACGAACTAAGGAAGCAGTTAGATTACATGTTAGAAAAGAAATTCATCCGACCGAGCTCGTCACCGTTCGCCGCACCGATACTGTTCACGCCATAAAAAGACGGAGGATTTCGCATGTGCATCGATTACCGAGCGCTCAACAGGGTAACAATCAAGTCGCGGTACCCCATTCCTCGCGCCGACGAACTGATCGACCAACTACGAGCAACACAATTTTTTTCGAAAATATATTTACAGGGAGGTTACCATTAGATTAGGGTTGAACCATCGGACTGCGCCATAACAGCTTTCCGGACTAGGTACGGGTCATTCGAGTACACCGTGATGCCTTTCGGGCTGACCAACGCACCAGCGACATTTCAGATGACCATGAACGAGGCGTTTAGGCTGCTTTTAGATAAATGCGTGATAGTTTACCTCGACGACATCCTCGTCTACAATCGCGACAAGCAGTAGCATTTAGTGTCAGAACATATAGCTTCTGCATATTGTGTAGACTATAGTGGGGTAGCCCATAAGGGGTACAACCCAATTAGGGTTAGTACTTGTACTCAGTTCATTCATAGTTCATCCATACTCGTTTCTATTTTCTCATGGTATCGAGCAGGTTCCCTCGTGGGAACTGTGCCTAGGGCCCACCACATCGATTTTTTTTTTCCTTCCCGGAGCGCGCTCCCTGAGTCGCGCTCCCCTCTCTGACTTCGTCGAGCCGCCCTAGCGGCCACGTCACGCCGCCTTAGCGGCCCCGGACCCGTCGCCCTACCTGCGACCCCGGCCCCGTCGCCCTACCTGCGCCCCGGCCCCGTCGCCCTACCTGCG